CAAATATCAGCTTAGGGAATTGTGCCAGGGCCTCTAAGGACATTGGTGCTGATCCTCACAGTAGCTCTACAAGATAAGAAGGCACTATAGTACAGTGGACTACACTATAGTGCTGCTCATCAAGATTACCTGGAGATCTTTTGAAAAACAGTAATTGAGTTTGTGCCCCCACCTAGTAGCCAAGAATCTTAATTTATTCCCCACATGGTAGAGCCAGATTTAGGAATTGCTGCTTTAGTGGTAAACAGCAAAAGTTCAGCTGGGCGCGGTGGCTCACACCTGTAATCCCAGCACTTTGGGAGGCAGAGGCGGGCGGATCACCTGAGGTCAGGAGTTTGAGACCAGCCTGGCCAAGACGGCAAAACCCCATCTCTACTAAAAACACAAAAATCAGCCAGGCGTGGTGGCAGGCGCCTGTAATCCCAGCTACTTGGGAGGCTGAGGCAGGAGAATCACTTGGAACCCGGGAAGCAGAAGTTGCAATGAGCCGAGAGCCTGCCACTGCACTCCAACCTGAGCAACAGAGCCAGACTCCGTCTCAAAAAAAAAAAAAAAAAAAAAAAAAAGAGCAAACGCTCTGCAATTAGCAAGCCGGTTCAAATGTCAGAGCCACATTTACTGGCTAACTTTAGGCAACTTATTTAACCTCTAACCTTAAACTCCTCATCTGTCAAATGGGAAGAAAATAGTGTCTACTCCTAGGGTCTATTAATAAGGGCCAAATGAGATAAACCTGTTAAATCCCAGGCATAAAACCCGATAAGGAGCAAGTTCTCAAATCGTCTTGTTATATATCACTCCAGGTTTACCAAAGAAGAATCTCAACTAAGTGTTAAATAACACAGGGTGTATTGTAGTGAAAGAAGCACAGGCTTTGGAGTCAGATTTATGTCTCAAGTTTTACTTATGAGTCTTATGTACCTGGAGAGGTTACTGAACCTCATCTATAAAACAGGAGGTGGAGAAAAATAACAAATGATTGTTGTAGGGATTAAAGTGGATAATTCTGTAAAGTGCCTAAAAAGGTGTCTGGAACATAGCAGGTACTCAGTAAATGGTAGCCATTATTCCCTCAAATTTTTCTTTTCAACAATTTCAATTTTCCACACATTTACACAGATTACATGTCATCACTGGCTAAAAGGATGTCACCAAAAATCTGTTAATTTCTCAAATGATATAACCAAATGTTTTAAAAATTAAGGGTGGCTAAGATTTTTAAAGTTGTTTCATTTTGGTACATTTGACAAATGTTCAGTCATTAAACTTGGGTCATATTATTTAACACTCATAGTGAAAGCTCTTGGGAAATTAAATATTAAAAACTGACACCCAACTGTCAAATCAAGAGTGGAATTATAGGTGTATATTACAATCTAATAAAGAAAGCTAACTTTGTAACTCAAATCTCAATAGGACATATTTAGAGTTACCGCTTTAACTCCACAGATCACTGTAGTATTTCCCAACTTCACTAAAGCAGAACCATCTGCGGTACTAATTGAACCTGAAAAGATAAGCAAAGTGAAAAGTGCATGAAAGGAAAACAGCTACAAAATTATCTACATAATCATTAAAATTAAGTGTTTTAGCTTGCTGTGTATGATTATCTTGCTACCCCTCTCAGTTGCTTATGAATATTTCGTTAGAATAATTGATTTTTACATAACTATTTTAAATTAGTGTTTAAATAATTATTCACCTGTCCTTGAATTTGTGTTAATCATTTTTCATTCAGTTACAGGGCTTTTGTACAGATAAAAATCTCTTCACACAAAAAATCATCAAATTCTTTAGAAAAAGAGAATTTGGCTGAAAAACTGTTTAGGTGGTTCAGAGACTAAAACTTGGGAATATCATACAGTTGAAAATGGAAAATACATCCTTACCTATGTTGACAGTTGTGGTTCTGAATTCACCAAGTTCTCTTCCATCAGGACGGCAGTTCTCTTTCTAAATAAATGTTTATATAAAAATAGATTATACCTATTACATATTTTACACATCTATCCCAAGTTTTACACACACCAGGGGAAACACATTAAATGTTACTTCAAATGGATTAAATTACTTGAAATGTATCTTTAAAAGCAGCCCATTGTTATCAAAAGGCAAAACATGTACATAACTTTTTACTCACCAGAAATCTCCTGTAATACTCCAGAGGTTCCACAGTTCTGAAACACGTGTTAAAAATATATCTGAGATAAACTGATGAATCTTAACATAAATCCAGAAATTGGCAAAGATCTTGAGTGTTGTGATGCAGCATACATCTCCACAACTTTTAACTAAAAGTAATTCTAGAAAGTAAAAATCCTTGCAGTAGCAATCACATTCAATTGCTGTCCTTAACTCTGCCATTAACGATTAGAAGATTGGCGTCTAAAAGCCCTTTGCGTGAGCTCTTTAAAAGCGGATTAATCTAGGTGTCAAAAGAATCTTGTCATTCTTGCTCTGAAACAAGGATCCTAGTGATCATGAATATCTTACTAGATAACTCAGGAAACAAAAAAGGTACATCTTTATTTTCACTGTAACTGAAATTTAGCATATTCTTCAATTATGACTGTAGGCAATAAACCATAGTAATATTAGCAGTACCTGCAACTTTAACAACCACAGAGACCACAGATGTCTTCATTTGTACCCTATAGCTATGTAAGGTATGTTCAGGCTCACTGTTACTTTGAAATCCCAGCAGTTACTACTAGTCTCGCCACTAGATCTTGTTTAAGAAGGTTAATTTTAAAGCAAGTATATATACTACTATATCATGTCTTCGGAGTTTATACTTATAGATAACTATTTCAACATAATGGATTTCCTTTGGAATCCTATTTATCCATTTTTTAGAAACTTTAAGAAAGTCCATTGGCTTCACACACAATAAAACCTTCCAAACGAGGCATGATCCTTTTAGAAATAAATGACGGGAGAGGGAGAAGCAGGCGGTATGTGGCTCTGATGCAACAATCTTGATTGACTGACTGGGACAGAGTCTCAGTCTGTCGCCCAGGCTGGAGTGCAGTGGCGCGATCTCGGCTCACTACAAACTCTGCCTCCCGAGTTCAAGCGATTCTCCTGCCTCAGCCTCCTGAGTAGCTGGGATTACAGGCGCCCACCACCATGCCCGGCTAATTTTTACATTTTTATTAGGGACTGGGTTTCACCATGTAGATCAGGCTGGTCTCTAACTCCTGACCTCAGGTGATTCGCCCGCCTCGGCCTCCCAAAGTGCTGGGATTACAGGCGTGAACCACCGCGCCCGGCCACAATCTTTAAAAGAGTACAACTATGTCTCCTGGGACTGAACATTCACTACATACCACGCTCACGAGCGCTCGCAGCGGGCATGGAACTCTACAGAGTCCTTTCATCTCTCGTTTCATTGGGGGGAAGAAGCCCTTTCTTTTCACTATAACCACCTCCAGGTCCTCCCACTCGTCGCCTGCTTCGACGAGGAAGGAAATGGCACCCCAACGGGGTCGCCCTCCGGGTGAGAGAATCCCAGCTAAGAGTTAAAGGAAGCTGCCGTCCACCTGGGTACAAAACTCGACCCGCCACCTGCCAACACTCACTTGAACCCAGCCGCCATCTTCCCGCCCGCGCGTCTGCGCCTGCGCCGCTCCTCGCTTGCGCGCCTGTTCCGCCGCCGCACTTTCGACACGGTTGCCCGGGCCGCTCACGCCACAGGAAACGCCAAGGTGGGGACGCGACGAAAGGTCCCTGGCCCGCCTTCGCATCGACTTTCCCCTGCCCAGACGCCCTTCTAAGTTTCCTTGCCTTGGACGTATTTTGACGAATCTGCTGTTAAAGAAGGAGCCCGTGTCCGTCTTTATTAAAAAACTGGTGCTGTAACTCAGAATAACTCCAACAGTTCAGAGATAACAGGGTTTCCAGCGAAGAATTAAGCAGTGCGTGTGGAGCGTTATTCCAATGTTTCTGCGTATTTTTTTTCCGCCTGTGACTTAGGCTGAGCCCTGGCCTTGCCTCTTCACGGTTAAGGGCTCCTTGCTCCAGCACATGAGAAACCTGAACTTTTTTTTTTTCTTTTTCTTTTTTGAGACGGAGTCTCGCTCTGTCGCCCAGGCTGGAGTGCAGTGGCGGGATCTCGGCTCACTGCAAGCTCCGCCTCCCGGGTGCACGCCATTCTCCTGCCTCAGCCTCCCCAGTAGCTGGGACTACAGGCGCCCGCCACCATGCCCGGCTCATTTTTTGTATTTTTAGTAGAGACGGGGTTTCACCGTGTCAGCCAGGATGATCTCGATCTCCTGACCTCGTGATCCGCCCGTCTCGGCCTCCCAAAGTGCTGGGATTACAGGCGTGAGCCACCGCGCCCGGCCGAGAAACCCGAACTTTATTAGCGCTCATTGTCCCACCACGTTCTGCTCTGCATCAGCTTGTGTTGTAGATTGTGTCGTGCTCAAGGCTGCCATCTCCTTCCTAGGCGGGGTTACCAGATAAAATACAGTTAAATTCGAATATCTGATAAACACAGCATTTTTTTTAAGCATGAGTATGACCCAAATAGAGCATGCAATTAGTTGTTGCCAGAACCTGGAGGGAGCTGGGAAGACTTTACAGATAGATAGTGGTGATGGTTGCACAGTATTGTGTATGTAATTAATGCCACTCACTATTGTAAAAACGATTAAAATGGCAACTTTTTGTTTTATTTTACCACAATTTATAGAAACTAGTGTAACCAGAAACCTTTAACTGGATGAGTTGTATGGTGACTATCTTAATAAGGCTGTTAAAAACCTGATTAGTTTTTTTTGTCTGAAATTCAAATTAAGTAGACATCTTGCATATTTGCTAAACCTGGCGGCCTGCTACGGAACCTGGCGCGCCTCTCCACCGACTGGGCGCCGAGGGCATGAGAGCGGCGTTTTCTCCGCCTCGCCACGCGGTGGCGCTGCGGCCAGCGGGCGCGACCTCTGGCGACGGGGCCGAATCTCACGGGCGCGCTTCCGCTTGTGTGTAGGTGCGGGATTGGGCGGGCGGCTCCGGCATGGAGGATGGCTCCGCTTCTGCTGCAGCTGGCGGTACTCGGCGCGGCGCTGGCGGCCGCAGCCCTCGTACTGGTGAGAACAGGGATGGGAACCCACGCAGGCCGGGGCTCACTGCTCTCCGGGAGACTGCAGCTCCTCAGGCGTCCCCTCCTGCGCGCTACCCGTTCTCAGACAAGTCCCTTTTCCCCTAGCTTCCCCCAAATACCTGACCTCGGAGTTTCCTTTCCTGGAGTTTCACTCTCCTTTTCTTCCGTTCTTTAATTTTCCTTTGGAATCTTATCTCTCTGTGTGCTCAGTTTTTCACACTGGGGCGCACCCACCCAGCCTGGCATCGTCGCCGCTTCCCTCGCCCCTGGTGCCCATGCCCCCTGCCCACCCACTCTTTCAGCCTCGACCTCTCCCAGACTCTCCGGGACCTGCAGCCGCTGCAGTTCTGCTCCACCCAGGGAGGTCTCCAGCCCCAGAAGGGGTGTGCTCCCTAGCATGCCTCCTTTGCTGATGGGGTTAAGCAGATAGAGATGACGGAGCCCTTACTGACAGCAGCTATCTGTTACAAATGGGAATAAATCCGTGGATCGATGAGACCCACTAGGGACGCAGGGTAAGCGAGAGAGACGGGCCTCAGGCCTCTTGTCAGGGGCGCGTGTGTCCCAGAATTAAGCACCCTAAATATAATGCCCATAAACAAGGCAGGACAATAGAATTCAAACTCGATTTTCTTTGCCATTGCTCTCGAAACACAAAAACATTGTAAACTCTTGCTGATTGTTACGTGGTAGAAAATTGGCCAAATGAACTCTCTCCCGCGTACCTTGGAATGAGCCTGCCCTCTAGTTAGTAAGTGGAGAGGATTTCAGCTTCCTTCACATTCAGATTAGTCATCTAGACAGCACTGCCAGGAAGGCCACCCTGCCATCTTTCCAGAAAATGTATAAATTTACAGTTTAGATAAAGTGTAATGCATCCTTACTTCTTTGTTAATAGTATCTGGGTAAGAAGGAGTCCTCTCTTGCCCTAACTAGTGGAGATTTCAGGGTTTGGAGCTTTTTTGTTTTTTCAAGTTTTTGAGCAAACCGGGATTTATTTTTTATTTTTATTTTTTTTTGGCGGTGTACGGGCGGGGAGTGGATTCACACATTCTTAGATTGAAGCTGCCTTACTTTGGGTCTTTTGCACAGATTTTATGAGACTGTACTGACGGTATTTGTTCCCACTAGCTTGAAGTGACAAGAGCTATCATTTATTGAGTGTAGTACTTACTATATGTTCAGTGTTGCACTTGGTTTAATAGGAGTTATCTCATTAAATCTTTAAAATAACACTGACATATATGTTATCATTATCTTTTTTTTTTTTTTTTTTGAGACAGAGTGTCGCTCTGTCGCCCAGGCTGGAGTGCAGTGGCCAGATCTCAGCTCACTGCAAGCTCCGCCTCCCGGGTTCACGCCATTCTCCTGCCTCAGCCTCCCGAGTAGCTGGGACTACAGGCGCCTGCCACCTCGCCCGGCTAGTTTTTTGTATTTTTTAGTAGAGACGGGGTTTCACCGTGTTAGCCAGGATGGTCTCCATCTCCTGACCTCGTGATCCGCCCGTCTCGGCCTCCCAAAGTGCTGGGATTACAGGCTTGAGCCACCGCGCCCGGCCTGTTATCATTATCATTTTACTGGTGAGGAAACAAGTTGGAGAAATGAGCTCGTGTACTCAAATGTTACACAACTAGTGAAACAGGTTTTTTTAAATGCCAGAGCAAGAAATAATTTAAAAAATAATTTTTCACAGCTTCATCTTTTCTTCATATGTATCCACTCTCCATTCTTATTTTCTCACAGTCTCACCTCCTTTCTGAATTATTTTAAAACAAAATTCGAAGATATTTTATCTTTAAATCCTTAGCATTTATTTCTAACAGATAAGGTCCCTCTTTTTAAAATACCACAATAAAGTGGTCACAGATTTATGTTTATTCTGTGATTTCAAATGCCCCCTCAGTTCACTTGCCCTCACTTGTCTCATATATGTGTCTGTTTGTTCCAATCAGGATCCAAACAAGTGTCACACCTTGTACTCCGTTGACATATTCAGTGTCTTAATCGGCTAAAAGTTTCTCCTCCTCCTTTTTTTCTTTTCCTTTTTGTTTTGTTTTGTTTTTGTTTTTGTTTTTGAGACGGAGTCTGGCTCTTGTCGCCCAGGCTGGAGTGCAGTGGTGTGATTTTGGCTCACTGCAACCTCCGCCCTCAAGCAATTCTCCTGCCTCAGCCTCCTGAGTAGCTGGGATTACAGGCGCCTGCCACACCACTCCTGTCTAATTTTTATACTTTTAGTAGAGACGGAGTTTTGCCATGTTGGCCAGGCTGGTCTCGAACTCCTGACCTCAGGTGATCCGCCCTCCTCGGCCTCCCAAACTTCTGGGATTACAGACGTGAGCCACCATGCCTGGCCTTTTTCCTTGTCTTTAATATGATCATTTGTCCCGTAGAACTTCTCACAATTTGGATTTCTTTGATTGCTTCCCCTTAATGCCTTTTAATATCTTCTATCTCAGATTTTCTATAAACTGGTAGTAAGGATCGAGAGACCTGATCAGATACATACTTGATGTGTTGTTTAATCAAGAAAAAATTGTGAATGATGCTTCTTCCTTTCTCTTGTGTCTCATTAGGAGTCATGTAATGGCCAGTTGCCTCTGGTGTTAAGATGGATGTGTGGTTTCAAGTGTTGCCAGCCAGACCCACCAGTTTATAAAGTTTGTCATCAGCCTGAAGGTTTTAGTAGTCATTGAGGATCATTACCTAAATGCTTTATTTCATTGTGGGTTGCAAAGTGAAATATTCTGATTGTATCCTTCATTTATTACCTAGAGTTTTGTAATGAAAGAAATCTCATCCTCAGCTATTCATTTACCCTGAAATATTTTTCATACATATAAAACGCAAAATAAAAGGCAAATTTTTGAAATAATGAGATGGTTCCTGCATCTTATCCAGTTTTTGTTTTTAGTATCATTGTGAATTTATGATTTACAGTATTTTCATGGTTTGATCCATTGCAATAATTTTTTTTGGCAGCGGGGAGGTGGGAGGATGATCAGATTCTTGCATCATAGGCCACTCAGAGCCCCTTCAGGTTGACTAATTTGTCCTTTCAGCATAGCCCTTGTAATCTTTGATAGCGTCTTCAAATTGGTCATTAAATTACAAATGAGTAGCATTCCAAAAATTTATAGACTGTTTTGAAAGCAGAAAGTGTACCAATAGAAACAATGTAAAAAAAAAAAAAAAAGGTTATTTCCAAAGCTTAGCTCCCAAGTGCCTATGGAAGGGAGCCTGTAAGTTAGATACTTCAGTAAATGCTGTATTCTGAATTCAAATTCGAGTTAAGTATCAAAAACATATTCTTAAACATTGTTGTCCCTACTTGGTACTCTGGGGAATCTTCCTTTTATATCTTGGGTCTGTCTGGTCCTCGATGGGAAGTCTGCCCTCACCCCGCATGTTCTAACTGCAAAATGGACTTGTCCTGTCACATACAGATTCCAGGTAGAGAAGGACCTTACTCTGTGTGTGTGTGTGTGTGTGTGTGTGTGTGTGTGTGTGTGTGTGTGTCTATGCATGTAGACACGCTAAGGATCAGAGGTTTAGGGCACCTAAGAGTAGACTGGTCTTCCTGTAGTGACAGATCTCTCTTGTAGCTGGGATGATGGAAGCCTAGGGAATGATGACTGGGAAGAGACAGAGCCTCCCAAGGCATCAGCACCTTACTGATGGAAAAAAGGACAGTAATTCATTCCTAAGTAGGGGACTAGTTAGTGGACTCACTATTGTCTAATTTTGGAGTCACCTCTAGACCATTGTTAATGAACTGAAGCCTGAGAGTGAATATTCAACTAAAAGAAAAGTAGATGATGTATTCTAACATAAATACAGAAAAATCAGCAAAACATAATTTCTTTTTTGTAAAAGACATGTATGTCTGCTTTTAGATTTCCGTCGTTGCATTTATAACTGCTACAAAAATGCCAGCACTCCATCGACATGAAGAAGAGAAGTTCTTCTTAAATGCCAAAGGCCAGAAAGAAACTTTACCCAGCATATGGGACTTACCTACCAAACAACTTTCTGTCGTTGTGCCTTCATACAATGAAGAAAAACGGTGTAAGCCCAGTTTTGATTTTTTTGGTAAAGGGTAGTTTGGAAAGAAAAGGAAATTTAAAGTATTTGACTTCACCGTCTTTGCCAAAACATTAATAGATGTGGGCTGTGTTACGTGCACAGTTGGTAATTGTTGTAGTTCGGCAGAGAGGGAAGTGAATATTTGCTCTCACGAATAGGAGCAGCATCATGAGGCAGTGGGGCTGGAATGTTCTAGAGAGGTAATAAGCAAGTTGTGGACGGAAGGCAGGATTCCAGATGGGAATGACCGTTGGGAGAGTACCAGAGGGGCTTGTTAGATTATTGGGACTTTTTTCTGTATGTAAGCTGAATGTGCCGGGCTTGGAAAATCATTTTCAAAAGCGATTTTTAATATATTTTTTTCTTTAAGTGCCTGTGATGATGGATGAAGCTCTGAGCTATCTAGAGAAGAGACAGGTATCATGTTTTCTCTTTTAATATGATATCTCCAATTAAAACTAGACCAGGTCACCAACTTGTGGACCCCAAGCTAGATGCACTGTGAGAGGCAGTCCTGGCAGCACTCCAATTGCTGGGCCACCTGCTGCTCGGCTTGTTGCTATCCAAAAGCCCGGCATGTAGCATGCTACCTCCAGAGGCAGGTGGGTGACCCAGGACAAACCAGGAAGTGGCAATTTCTGTTTCTGTGCCCTCCTACCCATTTTTATCCTGTCTTGCCTGATGATATATTTAAAATTGAGTGACAGTGTATGTCTGCAGACTTCGTATGATGCCACAATGCTGTTTCTACTTTTGTGACTTATAAGAAAAGGTATATTGTTGTTGTTTTTGATGTTAACTTTTATTCTCTTCTCTCTTTTTTTATTTTTTGGTTAACTGAGTTTGAATAAACAGAAAAACTAAGTCTGAATGAACAGAAAAAAAGATATTTTTAAAAGACTTACACTTACATTGAAATTATTTTGCATTTCTTCAGTATTCTCGAGAGTCTCCCCTCACATTTTCTTCCTCTTTTCCCTACATAAGGAGAAGAGAAATAATACACAATCTTCTTTTGTAACATTAGCTGCCATTGGAATCTCCTTGGAGGGATTAAGAATCAAGTGAGTTCTTTTTTTAAAAAAAATTGTTTTGATTTACTTTGCTTTTAGATTTTTTGTATAGAGGGGAAATAGAAGATTCATTGAAAAAGAAAGGGCCGTATTACCTTATTACCAACTCCAAAAATTCAATTTAGAGAAAAGAAGAAAGGAATTGAGCCCTTAATATGTATGAGGCTTCTACCTCTTCAATTACATGTAATCTTTACACCAGCCACATAGAGTAGGTTTTTCTGTTCTCTTTTTTTAATCCGAAAATAGGCCCAAAATGTTATGTTGCCCAAGATCATTAGGCTAAGAAATGCTGCGGCCAACCTGGAATCTGCCTTCTCTGACTTCAAACCTCAAGAGCTTTTTTCTTGCACACCGGTACCCTCTCAGATGTGCTATAGCACCACAAGTACCTGGCTTCTTCCAGCACCAAGGTACAGGGCAGACCAGGGAACGGCAAGGTGACATGTAGAGATTGAGTCAATATTCACTCTCCACCTCTACCCAGGATCTCTCTCTTTTTTTTTTTTTACTTAGCCTTTTTATTTTATGCGGTTTGTGCACTAATATTTATATTCAAATTTATATGTATCAACACTAAAGCAGTTTTTTAAATTATTGATAATTTTATTAGAATACTTTATGGCAATTATGCCAAATTGTGTTATTTTATTTTTGTTTCTTGCAGAAACGAGATCCTGCGTTCACTTATGAAGTGATAGTAGTTGATGACGGCAGTAAAGATAAGACCTCAAAGGTAAATACATTTGCTTTTAGAACTGACAATAGATAGAAAATAGAGAACAATTTTACACATGTGAAATCTCACTTTCATTCACCAGGCGACCCTAAAACTGTGCCTGACACTCTCCACTGTTACAGTGTAGATAGCAGAAAAAACAGATTTCGTTTATGGAACTTCTCCATAAGACCAGGGAAGCTTTGAAGATTGCCAGATAGGGAAGAAACATACCCACACACAGTTCCTCCTGGCCTTTAGGGTAGGAACCTTCCTTGCCTACCAGTTTGTGCTTCCTTTTTCCCTAAGCGCAGTTTCTTTATGCTCCATCTTGCCTTATAATTTCTAAAGCAGTCACGCCAATAGAAACCTGCCTTCATACCAGCCGCTGGGAATCAGGTGTGTCCTCTCACATGCACAGAGAGCACTGGCAGGATCTGGCCCAGGAAGGGTAAGTGCTGCACTTTGAGTAGTATGCTGTGAAAGTTATGAACACAAGCCATCTCAGCAGTTTAGTGATACATGCAGGGAATGGCATGGAAAGCAAACTTCGGACACTTGCTGCTGAGATTAGAGAGGTAGCCTAGACCCAGCTGAGGCTGTGCATCTTCTCCTGAGGAGCACTTTTTTGGTGGCCCTTGACCTGTGAGTGGCCAGCTGCTCTGCTGGAAGGATCAGAGATGCCCTCCCAGGGAGGACAAGCAAGGGAGGGGTTAGCAATTGGCCCCACTGCTCCCAAGGTTGGGAGGAAGTAGAAAGTTGAAATTATATTTAGTAGAAGTTTTTATTTAAAACAAAGACACTAGTTTTCGCTAAGCTAAATATTTACGGATTCCCTGTTAATGTCTTACAGTCAGAGGTGTGAGGAAAATTTTAGGTGTGGCTCTTGTTCTTGAGATGTTTCAGACTAAGGGGGCACAAATTATAGTACAAGAGAATACTGCAGTTGTACAGTGATGTTTATTATATCCTCAAACAACATAGCAAAAAGGCGAGTAGGCACTCAGTAGGAACTCAGTTCACAAATGGTGGCCGAGTGACAGCTGCTGCCCTGTAAAACACCGTGCTATAAAACTTCAGTGTGCATCCATTCCAAATAGGTGTGGCTTCAACAATGTTATATTCCTTGAAGCTCCATACAGACTCTAGAGGGAGCTTTTCATCCTAACATAGTAAAGTCTTATTAGTTCACTTAGCTACTCACACAATGACTTTATCTTCTTGGTTTTGGAGTCTTATGATGAATATCAAGTATTGTGCCATTCCAGAGTAAACATCTACAGCACAAATAACCGTTCTTTGAACAGATGTTTCTTCAGCTGTTAAGCAGGAGTCAAGAGTTCTGACTGGTACTAAAATACAAAGATATAAAGACCATTTTCTGCCTTGAAGGAATTCACATCTATTAATAATACTGGAAATATGCAGTAAATAATTAGAGCACTATGTGTTAAGACATTTTTATCAATTAGGAACTGTATCATAGAGTGGCTTAGATAATAAAGACGTTTAATTATCTCATCTGCCAGGAAGTCTGGAAATAGTTGATTCCGGAGTTGGCTTAGCATTTTAACAGGATCAGGTTGCTGGATCCCGATCATTTTCAGTCTCACGCATTCCTTCATCACAAAATGGCCACAGCTACAAATATTACATGTCGTGGAGTAGTAAGGGACAGCCAGGACTTTAAGAATCATCTCTGGGCTGGGCACGGTGGCTCATGCCTATAATCCCAACACTTTGGGAGGCCAAGGTGGGAGGGTGGGAGGATTGCTTGAGCCCAAGAGTTTAAGGCTGCAGTGAGCTATGATCGTGCTACCGCACTCCAGCCTGGGTAACGGAGCGAGACCCTGTGTCAACAAAAAGAATCATCTCTGCGTGCATCTCTCCTTTTGAACTAGGAATGACAATCTTTACCAGAAGTCCTCACCCCGCCTTTAGTAAAGCCCACACCAAAAGTTCACAAGCTAGAACTTAGTGGCATGACCACCCAAGCCTGCAGGGAGGCTGCAGAAGTACTCAGCAAAGAGGAGTTAGACCAGTCATGGTTCATCCCCTAGGGCTTCACAGTTGTCACTATGCATTATTGGGGCCATAACAGCAAAGAAGGAGGCACTGTTTGCTGGACTGGCAGTTAGTTAACAGTGGTACAACAGGACTGTGTACACTGGACCATGGCTGCATTTGCTCATTGAGACTGATAGATTTCAGCTATATGTCAGATACCAGAAATAAAAATCTCTGCTTTTAAGTAGCCGACATTTACAGTTGCATTATGTGATGAGTAAAGTAATAGTTGAATGAGAAAATGCTTTAGTAGTACGTATTGCTGTTAGAATTATACTTTTCTTTTTTCTGGGGGAAGGTGAGGGTGGGCATGGAGGCTAGAAAAGAGAAATGGTGTTTGACTGAGTCTTAAGCTGGCCTGACAGGTGAGGAAGCTGGAAGACAGTGTTCTGAGAAAAGGCATACAAGTGTAAGACCGTGGTATGGTCTGGAAATCTCAAATACTGCTAATGTACATGGTACTAATGGGGCGGCCTCAGAAGCTGGCTAAAAAGGTGAGGGCTGAATCACAAAGGATCTCCTATGCTATGATAAGGAACTCATATGTGATGCTTAGAAGCCGTGGGTCATCCTTGAGGGTGTTTGAACAGGGCTTATGTGAACCGATTTCCATATTAAAATGCTCCTCATATAACTTTAGGAATGAATTAGAGAGTCAGGCTAGAGATGTGGAGACTTTCGGGGATAAGGCCCTGAACTAGGTCAGGAAGATGTGAGGATGGCATGAATTTGAGAGGCATTTTACAAATCAGTCGGTGAGTTACAGTAGCCAGTGAATTGTGATGCGTGATAGAAATGAAAGATGATTTTCAGGCTTTCAATTTGAGCAACTTAGTAGGTGGTGATGCCATTTGCTGCAGCAAGGAATATAGACTGAGCAGGAGTGGGAGAAGGAGATGAATGAAATTCTGGAGTTTTTATTTATTCAGTATATAACTACGTGATGCAGGACAGAGAGTCTGGGCTCTAAACAGACATGCGAGATTCATAAATATAAGGTGTAATTAAGCCCATGCAGTGACTCCCAGTGAGCTTTTATGTTGACAAGAGAAGATGGCCAGGGGTTTCCCATTAGCTATGTGTACAACGTAGAGTCGGTCCTTGTGAGCATTATCAGCGTTTAAGGAGCAAGCCAAGCAAAAGGAGTTAGTGGTGAAAACTTAGGAACAGTTAGAGGAGGGCAAAGGCCGGATGAGAGCAACTTTACAGCTGCCCATAGAGTTGGTTGTCAAAGGACAGGGTACCTGATGGACTAAGGTTACAAGGAAAGGGGATGTGGAAGAGCAAAGGGCATGAGCCATACTACAGTGGACTGAAAAATAAATGGGTGATGAAATGCAGGTGGCAAATATAGATCACTATCTCATGACTTTGATTATAAAGCAGAATAATGGCAGTAGTTTGAGAAAATAGTGAAGTCAAAGGAAAATTTTTAGGATGCTGGCAGCTTGAGCAACTCTGAGGCTGTGGAGCCAGCAGAGAGCAAGGGATTGAAGATTTAGAAGAGAAGTTACAGCATGGATATCTGCTGAGAGAGAGGAATTTGAGTGAAAAGATTCTGGGGAAATGGTCAGGATATAAACAGCCTCTCTGGGGAGTAAGATCGATTGCAGACCAGAACAAATACAAAAGTCATTAACCAGTGTTGAGGGCCCAATCACAGGTTTATACTAGTCAGATAGCACATGGCTTTTGTGGGGGGTTTTTTTGGGTTTTTTTTGGTTTTTTTTTTTGTTTTTTTTTTAGCAGCTCAGTAGCTTAGGTAGAGGGGTCAAGAAAAGAAGGTCATTGTCCACTCTGGCAGTTCCTCTGCAGGAAATTGAACTATGATTTCAACCTAGTAAGTCAATGCCACCAAGAATTCTACAGCTTCTCCAGGTCATCAAAATGTAGAGTGGATATAATCTAGTCACAAGAAGGGGTAAACTCCAATAGCAGTGTTTGAGCCAAAGCAAGAAACATGGCTTATATAATTCTCTTAGAATCCAAATTAATTTTATTCTGACTTTTATGTAATTTCACAGGTAGCTTTTAAATATTGCCAGAAATATGGAAGTGACAAAGTACGTGTGATAACTCTGGTGAAGAATCGTGGGAAAGGTGGAGCGATTAGAATGGTAATACATATTTTCAACATTTTTATCTAAAATATAATGGTATCTTGAATAATGTCTTTTGCAGACTTGTATGTTTGCTCGCTGCTTGAATACCGGCATTTCAAGTTAGTGATAACATATTTTTAATAATAACTTCATGTTTTTAGTCAAATTTTATATTATGTCATATCTATAATATACTGGGTGATTTAAAAATATATTTCTGTTTATCTTAAAGTTTAAAATGTTACCATCTACTGCTGTATCTTTGATAGAGTTACCAGATAGTAAGCTTATGTGGTTTCTTGCTGTTTAAAAATGCTTTTTTGTATTAAGTTTTACCTTTACGAAGGTATGCTGTTATGCATGGTAGCATAAACTAAGATGAATTTGACTTGGGTCTATCCTGATGAAATGTGCAGTCTAATAGAAAAAGTAAGCATTTGCATAAGTAAAAAAGAAGATTACAATTATGAGAGACATGCAAATAAAATGCTAAGAAATTTCAAAAAAGAGGTTACTGTCAGCTGAGGCATATCAGGTACGAATCCAGCTGAAAGTTTAAAAATCAAGATATGTGAAAGAAAACCTAAATAATTGACATTGAGGTTCATTTATTTATTTTTCCCTCATAAAAAGAAGTCTAGAAGTGGGCAGTCCAGGGCTTGTTCAACTCCACAGTCATCAGAAGTCCAGGCTTCTGCCGTTTCACTCCTTCCTCATGCACACAGGGTGACGCCTGGAGCACAAGCCATTGTGTCCACATTCAAACAGGAAGGAGAAGGGAAATGGTCAGGATACAAATCATCACATGTTGCCCTCCTCACAGTGTCTTATGAGTTAGGGTCTATTAGTTTGATGATTATATGGATGAGGAAAGTGAGGAAAGAAGGTAAAGTAAATTACCCAATGTTTTCAGATGATAAGAGGTAGAGTCGAGATTTGGATGCAGTTAGTTTCACTCTGAAACCCATGCTTTTAACCTCTCTGATAATTATAGAGAAAAGACTTGAGAAAACAGCACACCATGTAGCAAAGCCAGAAAAGACAGAAGTAGGAACTCTTTGGATATGTACTAGAAACTGATTCACTTTGGTTGGGTCATAGGATATATGAAACAGAAAGAAAGTAGGATTGATGCAATGTCGTGGTGGGCTTTAAATCTATTCATTTGTTTCTTTATTCAGCCAACGTTGTACTTTCATTAGAGACACAGAGATGAAAGACACCTATTCTGTCCTTAAAGATATCACAGTTTAGTAGGGAGACAGACCATTGCCATACAGTGTGGTAAATGCTATAATAGAAGTATATGTAAAATGTTGGCGCCACCATCTGTCGGGGGGAGCAGCACAGATGTCCCTGAGGAGGCAGATTCCGAGCAGGATCTTCAAGGAGGATTAGGACTTAACCACATACAAGTTGGGAGGGCAGGGAGCCTAGACAGGGAACATGAACAAAGGCACGGCAGTGTGAAAGAACATGCCACAATAAAGGACCCACTCATGGTACCCATGTCTTGACTGTGGAGGTAAGGCTGCAGGGGTGGGTGGGTTCAGGTCACAAACTGTAGGCAACGGGCTTTTACCTTTTTTACCATTGACAGAGTCACACTTTAATCAGCCAGCAGCAAGTGTAGCAATATTAGGCAAGGTATGATTAATATTTATTTGGATTATGATAGTGACAGAAGAGAAGAAAATGAGGGGATAAATGTGAGAGCTATTAAAAGGACATAGAATTGAGTCTGGGGTCAGAGAGAAGAATGACGTATTAAGCCATTCTTACTTTGCTATAAAGAAATACCTGAGACTGCATAACGTATAAAGAAAAGAGATGTGATTGACTCATGGTTCTGCATGCTGTACACGAAGTGTGGTGCCAGCATTTGCCTCTAGTGAGGGCCTCAGGAAGCTTCCACTCATGATAGAAGGCGAAGGGGGAGCAGGTGCATTATATGGCGAGAACAGGAGCAAGTTAGCGGGCAGGGTGGTGCTGCACACTTTTAGACAACCAGATCTCATGAGAACTTGCTCACTGTTGCGAGGACAGCACCAAGCTATTCATGAGGGATCCACCCCCATGACCCTAACACCTCCCACTGGGCCCAGCCTCCAACATTGGGGATCACATTTCAATATGAAATTTGGAAGGGACACAGATCCAAACTATGTCAAATAAGTGCCAGTGGCCTTGGGTAACAGGGAGGATGATGATGCCATTAATAGAAGGAATGAAACACTGGAGGAGGAGCTGGTATAAGAGGCAGTTTGTTGAGTTTGAGCCATGTTAAGTTTGAGGCAACATGCAGTGGTATCCAGAACAGCCTAGGAGAGAGGGTGTGAGTGAGTCATCCGCATATGTCAGATGATAGTTGAACCTGAAGCCATTAAACTGTCAAAGAGGAGGTTACAGAGAAAAGGAGAACCAGGAAATCTTAAGGCAGTGAGACACATGAGAAATAATGGGCATCACATATGACTGAGGAAACACAAATGGGAGTTGCTGTGGTAGACTGCCTTTTCAAGGAGCTGCAGCGAAGTGAAGGCCATAGACGGTAGAACAGGAAAGTAAGCTTAAACAAGTTTGATCATGTATCATTGAAATTAGTCACTTACTGGTTTTTTGCCCCATTTCAAACTAATAGCTCCAGGTTTTTTTTTTACCACCTCAGCCTCCCAAGTAGCTGGGACTACAGGCATGTGCCACCATATGAGGCTAATTTTTAAAACTTTTTTGTAGAGATGGAGTCTCACTGTATTGCCCAGACTAGTCTCAAACTCCTGAGCTCAAGCAATCCTTCCACCTCAGCTTCCCAAAGTGCTAGGATTATAGGGGTGAGCCATCTCACCTAGCCTTTTGCATTTGTTCTAACGGGTGTGATTAAAATGACATCACAGATACTAGTTAGTGAGCTTATTGTACCATAGAATAAATGATCTGGTTTCTCTCTACATTTATATATGTCTTATCTATAGTCACACTATGTTGTGTTACCAAAGCAATTTTACTATATCAAACTGTAAATATATTTGCACTTAAGACATAAGGAATTCACTCAAATACACCAGAGAAATTAAAAGTTGATGTGCAGTTTATTTCTGTATGAAATATGCACTCATGGAGCCATAATTTGCACAAAAGACCAGCCAAATCAGAATTGAATGGCATAATTTTGCTGTTTCAAATACCGCAAATGGCATAAAATAACATTTGGATTTATGCATAATTCTTAAATTTTATTGACACTCTATTTTTTTACTTAATTAATTTAGTAAACTTTAGATCCCATAATAAAGGATACTAAAGACCTGTATTCCTATGATACATTTCATAGCATATCTATATTAGAATATTTAATCTGTCTATAAACATGTTCTTTATATGTGGTTCTAAGTAGCCCCTAATTCATTTTAAGCATCATGACACGATAAACATATAATATGTATGATAGGTACTGTCCCTTTTTATTCTTAGTGATGCAGAATATCTCTAATTTGTCCAAACCTATTTTATTATCTTGGTATTTTCCAAGATATTTGTAGTATGACTTCACAAAGTTTTTAAAATAATGAAGATAGGCAATAGGAACATTTGAGAAGATCTTAATATACAGGTAATTTGTTTTCAGTGAACTCTGGCCTCCTTCCGCCATCTCATACCTTATCTTTCACTCTTAGGTATTTTAAGTAGAACAGACTGAAATGTCATTGAATTTAACCTTCATTTTAACCAACTTTCTTTCACTTGAAATTTTAAAATACAGGGTATATTCAGTTCTCGAGGAGAAAAGATCCTTATGGCAGATGCTGATGGAGCCACAAAGTTTCCAGATGTTGAGAAATTAGAAAAGGGACTAAATGACCTACAGCCTTGGCCTGTGAGTATAAGAATGTAGTTTAAATAACATTCAGTCAAGAATGCAGGGGAGCTAAAGTAAAAGGAGAATTTACCTATCAGTTTAAAAACTGAGTGTTTTTGGTATGAAATCCTTACACAAATGGTACAACCCCATAGAGGAACTTACCATTTTGTTACAAATGTTGTCTGATTTTATGAGATTCACTTGACAATTACTTATTTAATATTGTGGCCATTTCTCTCTCTTGGTTTCTGATTGCTTCTACCCAAGTTTTAATATTTATTGTGCATATTCAATTAAGGCTTTTATTTAAAAGTATAGCCTGAGTTCCAGGTAAAGATGTGAAATGAAGCTGGATCACAGAATCCAGTTTTTGATGAAACAAACAAAATCACAAGCAATAATCACTCAGAAAGGATTATTTGAAACTTCATGCCATAACTTCGAAAAGTGGAGGTTGAGGAAAGAAAGAAAATCCTGGTGCCATTTCTACCTTTTAAAAGCCATTTAGAGAAATAAGATGAATTTATCAAATCCTGAGCGTTTGCCAAATACTTCCCAATCTGGAAAAAATGAATAAGAGAATGAAAAAGCACCCTTGGACAACATCAAACAATATACCTACCATCACACAATATGTCAGAATTTCAGCAGACGCAAGAAAACTTGCTGAGGTCTGCTGTTTTTCAGGACTGTAAGCTAAGTTGGGGACACAGATCCATGTGACTAGATCCTTTCCTGGATGGAGTGTAGCTTGTGCAAGACACGTGACAAAATCTCACAAGACCAGGGAACCCAAGTAACCCAACAAAGCCACATAGAGCCCCAGGGGAAGGTCCCTCCTCCTTGCCTTCCCACCACCTACCCTCAAGTCCAGATATAATACTCAGGCCTTGAAATTCTAGTTTAGAGGGGGAAGAGGTAAAAGTATATCAAGGAGAATGTTCATTTACGGTAGGAGAGTTGCCCATGTTAATCATGACAAAATGAAAGAAATGGCAATCACACCAACATGTAATTACACAAAAAATTAAAGTTGCATACAAAAGATTAAGACAGTGTAATCCAAGGAAAAGGACAAAGTTACATGCAAGTATTTTGGCTAAAGAAATAAAACAATGAAAATAAGAATTTAGCAACACAGGTCTTCAAAGGTAAGATGACAAAACAACAAAATGGTATTAAAAGAAAAATTACAGCCCAAGTTTACATGCCTGTAATTCCAGCACTTTGGGAGGCCAGGGCAGGAAGGTCGCTTGAGGCCAGGAGTTTGAGCCCAGCCTGGGCAACATAACGAGACCCCATCTCTATAAAAATAAGAGAAAAATTAACAGGGTATGGTGGTGCATGCCTGTAGTCCCAGCTACTCAGGAGGCTGAGGCAGGAGGATCATTTGAGCCCAGCAGTTTGAGGTAATAGTGAGCTGTGATTGCCCCACTGTACTCCAGCCTCGGTAACAAAGCAAGATCCTGTCTCAAAATAAATAAATAAATAAATAAAAATAAAAATAAAAATTACAGAACTAAGAAAACAAATTGAGACCAAAATAAGATGAATATGTAAAACTGTCTATGAATGAAATAGACCTAGTTTAGAATTGAATATTATTACATATTTATTAAGATCCTATTTAGTATAGCAAAACCAAACCAAACACCACAAAAAAGTAAACATACAAGTGCCCCCAAAAATATTTAATAATAATAACAGAAAAACTCACTGCATATCTTTCTAGAAATATTTATTTAATTCCACACTTTGTGAAGTATTACATATCTCCCCCACCATCATCCATTCCCATCCCTCGTATTTCTAGCTGTTTTTTGTTTTTTTTTAGGTGTTTTTTGTTTAAGATTCTAAGTGAATGAACTCTTAAAATTTCTTAAGAGAATTAGCTGTAAAGATATTCATACCATTGCTGTTCAGAAGAGTAGCACTAGCCGCATGTGGCTATTTAAATTTAAATTAAATGAAAATCTAGTTCCTCAGTTTCATTGGCCACATTTAAATTACTTGTGGCTAGAAGCTACCTTTTTTTTTTTTTCTTAAAGGAGATAAGGTCTTACTGCGTTGCCCATGCTGGACTCAAACTCCATCCTCCTACCTCAGCTTCCTGAGTAGCTGGGACTATAGAAGTAAGCCACCATGCCCAGCTTGTATAGCGCTTCCATCATCACAGAAAGTTCTCTGGCTTATAATGTGATGTGAATTTATTATTGGATATGTTGTAGTTCACTCTTACTAAAAAAGTATTTCATGTCCCACATCTTAGTAAATTATGATAGGCTAAAAGGAAAATCTAATTCATAAAGTTACTTGGTGTGATTTCCTTCTTCTCCCCAGACGACCCCAAGAGAAACTTGATAAATATTTCCCTTTCATTATCTTTCTAGAGGAAGCCATGAGTGGGAGGGAGAGCATAGGGCATCAGATTTTTAGCATCTGATTTTATCGTTCAGCAGTAGGACAAAGAATTTAAATGATTTTGCTGATGTTAGGGAGTGAACCAAACAATAAAACAGAAAAAAAATTTGAACTTTATTCTTATAAATCTAGTTCCTTTATACTAGTCTGAAAAGAAAAGGAGTTCTGATGCCATGTTTTTCCTTATAATCCCATTTACTACATTGTTACTAGAAACGTTAAGTTTTAAAGAATTAAAGCATGTGATTATCATTAAGCTATTAATTCATAGCCTTGGTTTTATAGCACCTTAAAGTATCCCTAATTTAAAAATGTCCCAACTCAATTGAATTAATTGGAATTAAATTTAGTAAGTTTTATTAATATGCATCATATAATACTCTTTGGAGGAGGTGGAAAGGAGGCAAATAAATGATAGGTGGTTAAAGTTACAAGATTCATAGTTTTTGGATCCACCCAGTGAAAAATATCATGGTTCTGACAAAGCTTATAAACAGCCAGTCATTGCTCTCATTACATTACATTCTGAAGTTGACATGCATAGAGAAATTAGAGGAAATCTTCTTACTTATGTAATTCAGGTGTTGGAGAACTTTTTCTGTAGGACCATATAGTAAATATTTTCAGCTTTAAAGCCTGTCAGTCTCTGTGGCAGCTGCTCAACTCTCTATTGTAGCATGAAAGTAAACATAGATAAAATACATCCTTTATTTACACAAATAAGCAGCAGATCAGATTTGGGCTACAGGCTGTAGTTTGCTGACCCTTAAATCTAATTCAATCATTTATCCAATATTGGAAAGTTTTTACAACTACCTAGTAATCTTTCAGGCTCTGCTGCATAACTCTAGGGATGCCTAAGCAGCTCATTCTGTCTCAGCTCCACTGTGAAGTTCCTCTAGACACCAAATGCAAATACGTCTCCTTAATCACCCCCTTCCATTGTTTCTGTCTTCTGTAGCTACACAAAATTATCTACTGCACTTCTTTGTGACAGCCCTTCAGAGAGTCAAAGCTGTTTTCCATGTGTATTCTCTTTAGGCTGTCAGTTCTTACAGTTTTTTTGTTGTTTGTCTGTTTGAGACAGTCTCACTCTGTCACTCAGGCTGGAGTGCAGTGACTCAATCTCGGCCCACTGCAAGCTCCGCCTCCCAGGTTCACGCCATTCTCCTGCCTCAGCCTCCCAAGTAGCTGGGACTACAGGTGCCCGCTACCATGCCTGGCTAATATTTTTTGTATTTTTAGTAGGGACAGGGTTTCACCGTGTTAGCCAGGATGGTCTCGATCTCCTGACGTCGTGATCTGCCCGCCACGGCCTCCCAAAGTGCTGGGACTACAGGCGTGAGCCACCGCGCCCAGCCCAGTTCTTACAATTTTTAAACATAGCATATTTTTTTCTTACAATTTTCCACTGAAGATGCATCTGTTTGTGTGGATTTGGTTTCCACATTACATTGTTACTTCGTACAGGTATTGCCAACAACTCTTTTTCCTACTCATTGCCTTTGAACTTTGTCTCTCTATCTCTGTACTGGTGTGGATTTCTTTCTGTGTTCTTTTGCTTTGTTTTCAGGAATGGAATTGTGGCTAGTTATCTCCTAATAACTTCAACTTGTTAAATTTCTGTGTCTAAAGGTGTAGGTTCTTATTCTATCTTTAGGGCAATAGCTGTTGTCTCCATTCATTTAAGCCACAAATTTGATAAGCATGCCTTGCATGTATTTCCCTAAGCCCTAATAAAACTAGTGACTGAAATCGTTCAGAAAATAATGAAACAGGAACATGGGTTTCGGAGTCAAGTCCTATAATTACATGACTGTCTCACTAGATGGCAGTCATTAGCTTAAGTGTCTTTTACAATATTGTTTTGACCAGTTTAAGTCATTTCTTTAGTACGTTTTACAGTGGTTTCTAATGTTTTCTTTCTTAGCTGATTTTTTTTAAATGACTACAAAAAGAAATATGTTACTCCTTGCTTGTATTTCCTCTTAGAGTAACCAGGTCACATGTTCTGGTCTGATGATTCTTATACAAGGTCATCTTACGAAAGTTGCCTACAATTTCTTTTCTGAAAATAAGTGCTCTTGTAAGGTTTTAAACTACATGTACATAATTTAAGTAGAGCTTTGTATAATACATACAAACAAAATAGGGCATTTACATTTTCATACTAAAAATTTTATTTTATTTTATTTTTGAGACAAGGTCTTCCTCTGTCACCCAGGTTGCAGTGCAATGGCACAATCTTGACTCACTGCAACCTCTGCCTCTTGGGCTTAAGCAATTCTCGTGCCTCAGCCTCCCGAGTAGCTGGGATTACAGGCATGCACCACCACGCCAGGCTATTTTTTGTGTTTTTTGGTAGAGATGGAGTTTCATTGTGTTGGCCAGGCTGGTCTCAAACTCCTGGACTCAAGTGATCTGCCCGCCTTGGCCTCCCAAACTGTGGGGATTAGGGGCATGAGCCACCGTACTCAGCCAAAAATTTTATTTGTATTTTACTTGTATTTTCTTTTCCCACATCTTTATTTTTTAATATGCAAAGCTGTCCTCTCAGATTTTCAGTTTCCTAACCGGTAGTCTACCTCTTTTTT